TTTATCACCTACCCCATTAAAATATGTTTGAATTGCCTCTGTGGCAAGACAAAGCTTTGATCTGCTCTCTCTGCTGTGTGCCGACAGAGATGATGAGTTTTTACGCATACACACATGCATACACATAAACATAAATGCACTCCAGTAAATACATGCACAGAGACTGTTTTATTGAATGGGAAATTGGAGCCAAAAAGTAGGAGTCAGACAGGAAAAAGATGCTTTACATATTTTTTTTTTTTATTCCCATAGCTGGCTGAAAATCACATTTTCTGGAAAGAGAGACACTTGTGGATAACTTGCATATAAATGTCAGAAGACACTGAAATTGTTTTTTTCTGCTATACCCTGCAAGACAGACAGTAGAATAAGACTGTAAATTTAATCCCTCATGCTCAGATGGTCTTATCATTAATGCTTGAGGAAAAATGGGACAAGAGATGAGTGTTAAGATGTGAAGGGCACTGATCTTTTGCTTCAACCATCATTGAGAGCCACTTATTAGTTTTCATCTTTGATTATGAGGCAGCTCCCCTCTCCCCGGCAGACATTAACCCTGATACTTCCTCTCCTGGTGTCTTTTACTTTGCAATCTTCAACTTAACCAGGTTCAACTCTTAATGGTCCTCATCATGTTGATGGAGAGTAAGGTGTGTGGAGAATGTTGGCAGAAATGTCAAGGATGAACAGGGAGAGATCGGTAAGAAATGTAAGGAGAAGTAACAATATGTACAGTATGTGGTGTTATTTTAAATTGTGCTTCAACACAGAGACTAACAGATGATGAACTGATACCTGTACATGTCAGTTTCAGGAGAGCTGCCTCGTGTTGGCTGTTGAGCTAAATGAAAAAAAGCTGATTTCTGTCTTCTGTCTCTACACTTACATATTTATACCCCAAGGGAATTGTGGGAAAATGGGCGCGCATTCTCTAGTAATGGTCAATAGCGTACATTCACTTTAGGCCTGATTTATGATGTTACATATCCGAGCGCTGGGGATGTGTTGTTGGAAGCTTGTCTAATCTGAGTCATGGATTTTGTAGCCTGAAACAGCGTGAGACCAAAACCCCAGAGGAACATGTCTGTTCAGTGTAAGAGAGACTGTGGATATGATCAATACTTCCATAAACCCACATTCGATAGCGACCTCCATCGAATTCCATCGTTAAGGAAGCTATGAATTTCAGTAGTGGCGTGTGAGATTAATAATGCAACGCGACCTATTTTCTTGTTTCTGATTAATTCTTTTTCCCAGAGTCTCTTTGTATTTTCTGCGTCCCATTATTTTCTACTCTACTTATCAGTGTAAAGTACAGATATGAGTTTGTATTAATCGCTTCAATGTGCTAAACATTCCAATGACTTCAAATAATTCGCTATAGCATATATGATATATGTTGCTTGTAATCTTAATTAGTGTTGTAGTTGACAACTATGAAGTGTAATGAAGCCTTGAGCTAACAAAGTTAGTTAAAGTTAAAGAACCAAATATTTCCCTCAGATGATAAAAGAGACCAGAATTAAAAAGGGATGAATACTGGACTTCATCAGGTGGAAGAGAAGCACAACTCCAAATGCTAATTTTGCTCTCTGTCTGCTGGATGACAGAAAAAAATAATGAACCATTATATTAATACCATTTGTTAAAGTGTGGTTCATAAAAAAACAAAAGACCTGAGGCAATTTTTAGTTAAAACTGCTTTGTTTTATTTGCACACAGTCTATGTAAACATCCAGAATCATTTGCATTTTACATAAAATTCAAGCATATACGCTGTGGTTTGCTACAAAAGATGACCTTTGCAGTCCATTAAACTTGGATAAAACCTAATCGCACCAGATCTATTAATCACTCACCGTTCAGCAATGGCAAGAAACAGCATCTACCTGGAGCCCAGATGTTTATATTTGCTCAGCCTTCAACAGACTTTTAGTTTACCTTGACTGTGAGCTGAAGTGTCTCAGGATGCCCAGCTGGAGACTCGTCTTGGTCAGAACTCAAGTTCACTGCTTTATTTACGCAGCTGTTTGTTTCTCTCCCCACATATTCCATGTTGTTATCAACATAGCAGATTTTGTGTCCATTAGTGCATTCGTGATTTGTCATGCACCTTGGGAGATAATGCACAGGGCTCGGATTTATGTGCTTCTCTCTGTGTGTGTGTGTGTGTGTGTGTGTGTGTGTGTGTGTGTGTGTGTGTGTATGTAATACAGTCCCTGGAGTGAGCATTTACAACTCGAGAAATATTGAGAACAAAATTTGTGTCATTGCTAAGTCTGCCTTCAGGACAGAGAGCCTGTTAGCGAGTACTCTACTCAGCATGTGCTCTGTGAAGTACGCTTAAATATGCTGCGAATATCATGCGAATACATGAGAGATTTGACTCTGGTTGTCTTTGAAGATAATCACCCATGTCATCTTAGAATATCCATTTTTATATTTTGTGTGTGTGTGTGTGTGTGTGTGTGTGTGTGTGTGTGTGTGTGTGTGTGTGTGTGTGTCCTTATAAGGATAGAGAGCTTAAAAAATGTTCTACAGCTTTAGAACCGTTTTGGATTTTCTAATTTTTTCAAGGGGCTAATAGATTGTTTTGTAGTTTCAAACCCTGAGGAATTAGGTTCTCTTTCTTTTTCAGTTTTGGTCTTCCAAAAGAAAGGAAGAGTCCTGGACATTTCAAACTTCATTTTCACAGTTATTGAGGCCACCGTCCTTGGTTTTATATATATCATCTATGCCTTGCTACAGATTTATCGTGGCAGTCCACAGAGAGTTCCTTGGACTTCATGGCTTGGTTTTTTTTTGTCTTAACATGCAGTGTGAATTTCATGTCAGCAATTTTCTAAACTATGTCCAATCAATTCAATTTCCAACAGATGGACTCCGATCTCTGGTAGTCATGTCTACACAGAATAATTGGGAGCAAGCAATCAGTGTATGGAGTACTTTTCATCTTTCTGTGTAGATTATCATCATATAGCACCAGGAGTTTAAGTGTCTCTTAGAGGTTGCCTTGTACGAGGAGAGTCTGTCCTTCCACCTGGAGGACTCTGTGTTGACAAGCATTCGACCAACTGAAGTGCCCTTAAATAAGTCTGTGAACTCTGAGCACCTCCAGAGAGAAGGCTGTAAAGCTGACAACTCTAACAAGGCACTTTTTGGTGTCACTGAAGTATACAGTATATTGAATCTTCTCGTGTATCTTCTCCATTGTGACCGGCAAAACTTCTATTAGAGAAATGATGGATAAGAATGGTTTATACCAGGCTTAACGTCATCTGTGTAAAATTAATGAAGTGAATATGTGTCACTAATGTTTTGTACACTGTTATCAGGTGAGGTGTGGTTCTCTCACTGCAGTCAGAAGTTAATTTTAAACTAAACTGAACGAGGGGGAAGAGAGTCTTGTGAGGAGAATGGGACTTATGTCTCTTTGTGCATGTAAACAAATGGCCTCAGATAGCAGACACCTAAATACATCACAGCCAAGGTTGTACAGAAGGAATTCTATTAGTTGAAAATTAAACATTTCTTCCCGCAATCTGTTAACGTTTGATAATTTTTTTTTGTTTTTTAAACTCTTCATTTACTGTTTTAATGTTGTGGCCAGTGTATGTACATACTGATGCATGTAAACATAGACATATTGCATGCATACATGAAAGCACACGGTACACGCACAACCAACCACACACACTAATACACACAAACACACACAGGCATGTGTGCACACACTCCACTAATGAGGATGGAAATCTCCCTGCCTCTCTGTTGTTCCCCGTCTGTATCCCTGCCACCGGCTGTCATGAAAAGTAAAAAGTTTGAAGTTTGGTCTTTTATCCTTTTCCGATGCCGGACTGCGCCTGGCAGTCAAGCAATCATTTCAGTCCCTCTTTTCTTCTCTTCATAACACTGCACCATTATTTTCCCTCTGCAAACATTCTCCTGCTCAATTCAAGTGTCTTTAATTGAACCTTTACCTACAGATGACTGCCAGAAAAATTGAGTTTCTCTTCCAAGTACATGATGCACATATATATTGTATACCGCAGTGCAACAATTCATTGCAGGGGCAGACAGTGAAGTGTCATCACCTCGCGCCCAGTGTGAAAATGTGTGTTGATGTTGAAACTGATGGAGAAGATAAATATATAAATGCCATAGTATTAAAAACAACCATAATGCAGTAGCAATTAGTACCAACACCTTGATACCCAACATTCAATTCAGCCCGTTTAAAGGGTGAATTCACCCAAATCACAAAAAAAAACAAACAAACAAAGAAACAAACAACAAAAATGTTTTTACCTGTGACGTGTTTGAATCAGCAGCAACATTTCATTCCAGAGTCCATTTCCCTACTGTTGTGAATGATCCACAAACCTTCATTAGGCAAATTTAATTCAAACTAGTTTCTACCGAAGAAATTATTCCAATGAAAAGTGTTCACAGTGAGGTCTCTGGATTTGCCTTAGAATTTTTAAAATGTTATTTTTCGTTGCAGCAAACCCCCAAAATGAAATTGCTTTGGGATAGAAGCAGACATTTCAGAGACTAATATCAGAAAATCCAAGCAATTTTTAGTTACATTTTGGAAACCGATGAAGCAGCTCAGTCGTAGTTTCCACCTGCCTCAGCATGAGGCAGAAATTTTCTTCTCCCAGAGCCTAGAGGCCCTCTGTGAATCTTAGAACAGAGAGACACACATTAGCTATGTCTCTCTCTCTCTCTATGAGATCTCTCTGTTCCTTCTCTGAGCTGCTTTCAGGAACAGGTCAGTGGATAACAGAAAAAGCAGCCCTGTGTGTTCACACAGTAGCATCTCTGTTGTAGTTTGGACTCTGACCCACATCAGCTGCTGCCTGCTCCACTAATTGTGCGACTCTGTGACACTTTGCCTTACCTATTCCTGAGAAAAGACAAATAAAGACAGACACCTGTTCCTTTTGTATCTTAATATAGTGCTCCACTGACCCCAGTGTTTGTGTTTTTATCTCCAGTGGAGCGATGCATGAGTGTGATGCAGTCCGGGACACAGATGGTAAAGCTGAAGACAGGATCCAAAGGGCTGGTGAGGCTCTTCTACCTGGATGAGCATCGCTCCTGCATCCGCTGGAAGCCCTCACGCAAGAGTGAGAAGGCTAAGAGTGAGTATGCGTGCACACATACACATTATTTCTAGTCTACAAGAACGCTTTTGTAATTTTCTTTTAAAAATGATCAAGATGTGATATGCAACCCAGGCTTATGGCTACCTTTCAAAGAGGAGACCTCCATAGCATATTGTTTGCCCTCTCTCTCTAACTTATTTCTGTCCTGCTTTTGACTTTCATTACTTATGATTAGTTTGTCAAAGCACTTTGTAAACTATGTTTTTAAAAGGGGCTATATAAATAAAGTTGTTATTATTATTATCATTATAGCCTGCAGTGGAACTGTCTGTGTTGAGGACAGACTGGGAGTCTTTCAAAAATGTTTTCAACATTTAAACAAATTTCTACTCTGAAAATAATCATGTGGTGTTGCACTCTAGAGCTAGAGTGACAAATCGACGAAAAACACTAAAGTATCTAAAATGATAAGTGTGTATAATGTATGCAATGTATATTAGTGGCCGTAAACCAATATAGTTGTAGGTACTTTAATACTATTGTTTCATTATAGTTAATAATTATAGAAAAAAAATCTTCCAACATTTTTTAAAACCCTTTGTGTACGTTCCACCCACCACAACAGGATTGATTTTGATGCCCTCTGAACTGAAAACAGGTAGGATCTGAAACAGATGCTGCACCACTTGCACCTTGCAGTCGTATAACAATCCACCACACTGCAGTAAATTCACTGAACCTCCAAAAAGGGTGTGACCTTACAAGAAGCACTCTAACACACCGAAACACTCGATTTCCTCTCGGAGTCTCTAAGTCATTCATTTGGGTGTTGCAATTCAAAATTCATCAAAGATTGAACCCACAGCCTCAGACATTCAGAACAGTCAATACTGTGCCAGTTGGACACAGAGTTCCTTAGAGCATTTCAGTCTTTGGATGTTGAACTTCAGAATTCTGTGAGCCTAATAAGGATTGAACCCACATCCTTAAAATGTCCAAACACTCTAACACCCTTGATGAATGGTTATCAAAGCCTCATTCCTTTAGGTGTCGGACTACAGAGTGGTCCTTTATCAATGTGAGCTGTTTGACCAAATACACTGAAGCCTCATTTCTTGGAGCTTTTGACTCTTTCCTTTGGATATTTTAATCCAATTGCAGAGAATATCACAGTGATTGATCCCTTGACCTCAAAAGTCCATTGTTTCTCTGAGACATTTGGTCAGAAACCAAATGTCTTAGACCTTTTTGATTCTGTCGTTTGGAAGTCTGACTTCAAAATCCATAAGCTACATGAAAATTGAACCCACAACCTCATAATTTGAAAACTTTCCTCTGTCACTCTGAGCCATTTGGTCAGTCACTTACAAGCCTTTGAGTCTTCACTTTGGCTGTTGGACTTCAAAACTCACTGAAGCTCAAAAAATCAAACCTCAGAACTTCCAAGCAGTCCTCCAACACGTTGAGTTATGTTGTTAAGGACAGGACAGTTTCAATCTATTTCTTGGACTGTTTCCCTTGGGTCCAAAGGAAAAGTTGGGACCACCATTGGCAGATCATGATGGCCAAGGGGAAAGGTATTGGAGTAACTGGACTATTCATTGGACTATTTTGAGTTTTTGGGTTTAATCTCTGTGAAATGCGTTGGAATTTTGAAGTCCAGTGTCCAAAGAAAAGAATCAAAATCTCTTAGAAATAGAGCTCAAAGGAGAGCTCTTTTGTTCAAATAGGTCAGGGAGTGACAAGACAGCCCTGGTCTCTTGAGGTCTTTGGTTTGAGCCTCAAGATCTGCAGTGAATTTTAAGTCCAGCACAAAAACATTCAAAGACTTTAGAAAATAAGGGTAAAGTGTCTGACCAAGTAGTTAGAATACTGCTTGTACATTTATGGATGTGAGGTTGAACTTCACGAAGCTGCATTAATTTTGAAGTCCAAAACCCAAAGTGAAAAGTGCTCAGGGAGAAGCTCCCAGTGCGAAGGGGACGTGGTGGTGTGCAGGGGTTGTTCATGACTATAAAGCGCCGGCAGTGCAGTGTCTGGTTTGAATCCTGCTCATTGCTGGTACCTGCAGCATCAAAACCAATCGTGCTTCAGAGGTTGAGGCACACACACACACACACACCACCAGCTGCCCAGTTCTTTCTTTGAATATGAGCTTTGAGAGTGTGTGTGTGCTGTCTGTCTGAGCCTGATCAAAATAACGCTGCCATATTGTTACTTTCAGTCATAGTAGAATTTCAGAAATGAGGTTATGTAAAGGGATGAGAGAAATGAGCGTGATGGGGAAAATGGGCATGCATAATTTTGCAATGGATTATTACAAAATACACTTTTTAGGTGGGTGAGAAGCAATTAATTGAATAAAATCTTGAAAGCATTAACTCTTTAATCTGTCGGTTGAACATAATTGTGTTTCTCAAAACACAACACGCATTAGTGCACTGATGAGAGGCATTGCTGGATTGTTTTATTTGGATGAGACACCTTCAACAGCAAGTTATAGGATCACATCTGAGAGATCCTGTGAGGAGAGCAGGAGCGAGCTAAAGAGACACATAAAGCACATATGTAAATACATGTCTACTGCAGGCTGTTTCCCTCTCCTAACAAAGACACAGAATCAAAGCTAGCTAAGTTTATACTCCAATCTCATTAGACTGCGATACACTCTGAAGCCCACATGGAATTGGCTTCTCTGTGTATTTTTACACATGCCAGAGAAATGCAGAAAGTGTGGAGATTGCATAATGCTATTCATGGCTTATTGCTGATCATGGTTTCATATGTCAAAAAGGAATACAGACTTTTTTTTTTGCCAATTATTTCAAGTTTTTTTCTTTTTTTTTTTACACTTGACTGCTGTCTGCTCCAATCATTCCTTTGTTATTAGAGATACACCACTCCAAAGTTTTTCTCTTCTGAACCCAAGACATCTGCTTAGATCTGATATCAGTGTGCTCTTTTTTTCTAAATTTAAAATCTATATATTTCATCTTTCTTTCATCTTTTGAATAGGATTTTTTAAGGTAACACATTGCAAGGGATTGCTGTGGTACATTCCTTTGACTGAATGACAGTACATAGTTTCTTTTTTTTTCATAATTTCCAAGAGCCGCTGGACACTGTAGTTTTTCAAACAGGAGTAAACAGTGTATTTGTAGGGGACTATTTTCAGCTGTGGATTAATACACATTTGATGCTCTAATGAGTATTTATGATGTATGTGGGATTCGCTCAAATTAAACTGAAGTGTCTGTGTTCATGGTAATGAAGGAACATGTAACCCAATGCAACAGTGTGGCTCATTGATGTATTTTTAATAGCAATAACAGGTCTATGGCACAGAGGAGTAGGCTGCATCAGGCTCCAGCTACACAGGCATTACTTGCTAGTATTATAGTTGGTCTCAGTCTCTCTCTGGGATTTCCTACCAATGAGAAAACAATAGAATTTCACCGTTCATTCTTTAGGTTGTAATTCACTGACAGAAATCAATAATTCACCCATTTTTTTGGTTTTAGGCCTTTTAACAAATAATCAAAGTAGTCTTTTCTCTTCCTTTCCATCCCACTTCTTCTCTTGATCAGTCACCATTGATTCGCTGTACAAAGTGACAGAGGGCGGTCAATCGGACATCTTCCATCGTCATGCAGATGGCAGCTTCAACCCGGCCTGCTGTTTCACAGTGTACCATGGAAACCACATGGAGTCCCTCGACCTGGTGACGTCCAATGCAGAAGAAGCCAGAACCTGGATAACTGGCCTGCGCTACCTGATGGCCGGGATCAGCGATGAGGACTCACTGGCCAAACGGCAGCGTACACACAACCAATATCCTTTCAGGAAAGACTTACATACAAATCACTGTTGTCAGGAGAAACACAGCGCACTGTCAAGAGCAGACCAATGTTCTAGGAAGGAAAGAAAATGTGTTTATGTGATTTAGTTTGAGAGAGTTTTTTCCCCCCTCAGTTCAGATAAAAACACTAAATTTTTCAAAAGAAAATCCTTCTCCAGAAAGTGAAGTTCAAGGTTTTAACTTGCTAGGAACTCGGCAAGTGGCATATTCAGGTTTTATTTAGCTTCATCCACCTGTAACCCAGCGTTCATGGTCAGACACACTTATTAATGACTTGTGGATCACCTTGAAAGAAAAGTCTGAGTTTTCATTTGTTTATAGTCAGAGGGGTTTGTGTAATCTCATTACTCTATAGGCTTAAACATAACCATGATTCACAAAGACAATATTGAAATACATGAAATAACACAGACAGATTTACTATAGTTATTAGATGCACAAATGATGGTAACCACATATAAACAGTCTCCATATGATAAATACCTAATTTTCCTTAATGTGTGTGTCTGTGACGTGGATGAAGCAGACGTTTGAAGAGGCTGATAAAAACGGAGACGGTCTCCTGAACATCGAAGAGATCTCCCAACTTCTCCACAAGCTGAACGTGAATCTGCCACGCAGGAAGGTCAAGCAAATGTTTCAGGTCAGAATCTGGAGCCGTTTTATTTACTGCCAAATCCTGGCCAATACTTAATAAGTAACAGTCCCCACAGTCTTAACATAAGGCTACAGTTACAGTCACCATTTTACGCCTCACATATACATTAATTGCTCTTACATTCCTTTCAGAGGCTTCACCATAAGGGAAACATTCATATATCAAGCCCTTAATTAGAAAAAGGATGCTTGAATCCATTTTAACCTGTAAAAGTCCTTATATATAAATATTTAAGATCACTGATGTCACATTATTATTGCATTTTTTATTTTCATGTGCATTTGTGTAATTTAAATAAATGACCAAGAAATATTTCATGTGTTCATAAGTGAGAGAAACACTTTTAGAGGAAAAGGATGAAGTAGTTTAAGGAGTGGTCTGCTTCAATTTTTTAAAACAGAAGTCACATTGAGTAATGTCAAAAATCCACACTCAACTTTTCTAAGGTGAGTAATAGCATGCAGTAACACAGTGCAGTGCTGCGGGCAATTATTGTTCAATTTCTCACTTTCTCATTTTCTTGTTTTATTAACTATACAACAAAAACAAGTTCGCCTTCGTTCTAGCGATTGACTGATGATTGACTTTGAACAATCAATGTAGTTAATTATGACAGTTAATTATGCTGATAGAGATGGTTTTGTTTGTTTGTGTTTTGATTGATGTTTTCATTTGGACGAGGGTGAATTGGTCAATTTTAGGGGTGTCCTATACAACAGACTTGCAGACTCGCAGACTCAAAATGCAGAGATTGGGGCAAAAAATAGCTGTTGCTTAGTCAAAGATACAAAAAAAACCCAAAAATACTTGTTACCCAAATTAAAGCAGTCAGACCGTAGAAAAAAGCAAAGGTATTAAGATTACTGCAAGGGCAGATATAACCTAACCAGGGTTGGGGAGTTGAGACAACAAAGACAAAGTGATGATGCTGGCTGCAGTGTAAATAAACTGGTATTTGTTTGGGTGTTTTCCCTGTCCCAGCACCACAGCTTTGCCCCCTGACACGTCCATCTGTCCATGATGACATTAGATAATAAGGAAACAGTAATACAAACCTTAAATCACTGATAAGTCCCAGTGTTCTTAAAGCCCCCGAGAAAAATTACTTTCAAATCTAAAGTATGTCTCTCTAACATTAAATATTCCTGACTACATGAGCAACTATCTAAGTTAAATTTGGAAATAAAAGCACATTAAGTTATTGTTCATGAAGCATTTAACGCTTAAAAATTCAGCTATGACATTCAGCTGTGATGTTTCTTCATCAGAAACACGTGGATGTGGGCAGTGCTGGCAACATAAGGAAAATATTGCAAAATTGTGATTGGTGCAGGAAATTAATTGAGGTCACGTTTTTTCATGCCCACTTTAAACCAGTGAGAGGAGCACAAATAGCAACTCATTCACAGAAATTGCTCATGTGAAATAAGAATAAAAATAGTTCTAACTTAAATGTTGTGTTCATGTAGGAGCCATGGATAATCATATGAAGCTGATTTGAAAAAATAGGTTTTCAGGGCCTTTAAACTTCCAAATGGATATTGTGACAACTGACTGACAAGAGCAAATCCTTATTTCAGCTCAGAGTGAGCTTAAAACTTGGAATTGAAATTGTCATGCACTATGTATTTTTGAAATTGCTAATACGATAAAAATATCCAAAGTGTCCTCTAAATGCTCTTCTCCACCACCAGTAATTCAGAGTCGATACAGTGAATCTGAAAGTTTTTATCTGTTCATAATGGGCTAACCTGTCATTTCACACCGATAATCGCTCCATTCTCTTGAATTTAAATTAGATTTCATTCATTTAATCCTTTCCATTTAAACTTTGGACGGCAGTGTTGCAACCGGAACAGCTTGTGGAGTTGCTTAAAATACCATGAATCTGTTTGTTTTCTGTCCATGCATTTCTGATCAAGTCTATCACAGTAATTTATCCTGCAGGTTACGTGTAGACTCTGTCTGTGATCGAATCCCCAGTGCCCACAGCGAGCTCATTATGGGAGTGTGATGGAGGCATTAGCTGGTATTATTAGATTTGGTGTGGAGTCGAATGGGCCCCCGTGAGATCCAGGTAATATGAGAAACTGGATCCCAGGGAGCAGACAGAGAGGAGTGGCGGGATAAAATAAGTGGCAAGCCACATGCGGTGACATATGAGGTTGGGAAAAGGAAAAATAGGTTGGAGAGGTAATGGGTTTGTGTCCTAAAAGCTGGTACATTGTGTGTGGTTACTGGTGTCAATTTGTGTTTGTATTAGTGTGAAAGGGAGAGAACCATGGCAAGAGATGGAGAAAAGATGAGACAGTTTGCAACTGCACATGTGCACAGCCGTTCCCGTGTGCACACCTTTACAGCTCAAGTCTATGCATTTTTCTAATTTTAAACTATGTGCATTGACCGGTATAGTGTCAGGGTTGACTCACAGTAAATATTGATTTTATGCCATATATTAGAGACTGATAATCAGACTGACTGATCATTCATCATGACTCATTATATTTCACTTGAGACATGTTAGCTGATTTCTTGTAAGGAGAGAACGTTATTCTGTTCTGTTTTGCCCTAACCAGTGAGTAGTGAGTGACATATCCATCACACCATCATTTGCAGCAGGCACAGAGACTGTGGTACAAGGAGCAATTTTTTAAAATTATTTATTTATTTATTTTTAGTAATTTGACTTGTTCAGCTGCGTTGATCTTACCCAGGCTTGGTTTCATATTTCTGTTGCTATTTTCCATGAATGTAGGTAGGTAGATTGCAACCCATGTAAGAGGATGATCAAGAGCATGCAGTAGCCTACATGAAACTTGTGTCCATGACCTACAGAGGAGACCTATAATATACTTGTTTCTTGATCCGCAATTTTGACCAGTATTTTCAAAAATTTCTGTTTGTTGTTTCGGATGAGGACTGTGTGAATCAAACAAATAGAATCACAATGCAAGCCATGTGTTGGAGTTTGTGTAGCATTTCACTATGTCTGTTTTTGTAGTTGTAGTGTAACCATTAAAATGGAATAGCTTGAGACGTATCACTTCCTCACCCACACAGGAAGCAGACACGGACGATCAGCAGGGCACGCTGACATACGAGGAGTTCTCGGTCTTCTACAAGATGATGTCTCTGAGGCGGGACCTGTTCCTGCTGATGATGGCGTACAGCGACAGGAAGGACCACCTGACAGCGGACGAGCTGGCCAACTTCCTGCGGAATGAGCAGAAGGTGAGAGGTCACACTGGTCATACTGGTCTGGGGTTAGAAGCAATAAAGTTCTCTGCCAGTGATGTTTAACGCCGACATGTTTTTTATGATGAGGTGTCCAAACTACTTTTTGTTCGAATAAGCTATTTCCTTTTGAGATCCAGCTGCAGAAAAGAGATATTTCTCTTCACCCTCTCCTTAGTCTAACACGTAACTCCTTCTGTCTCAGCTGTCTGCCCAGAGGAGTCTGCTCCTCTAAGCCAATCCATCACGCCTGAAATTATTTTTTCTCTCAGTTTTTTCTTTGTGTCTCTGACACACTCTTCCTGCTCTTACATTGCAATTTTTCATTCGTCTCCACCCTGTGATACTCTGCATTAATACTGTTCTCCAACTGAATAGCTGTTTTGACATGGCTGCAGCAACACAAATTAATTGTGAAAATGAATTGTAATTCTGACTTCATTTAGCTTTTAGACTGGGATTAAATCATTCTTATTTACTATATTTCAAAGAGTAAACAGGTGTTTACATATTTTCTTATCTTGTCTACTGTATTTTATGCTGGTCTCAGACAAGTTAGAACACTTTGTAACCAACTAGGTCACTTCATAAACAAACCGTAAAATCCTTGGACAGGAAACCACAATGTTGTCATCACTTTTTTGTTAAGTAAATACAACATGATGAGTTTTGAGAATAGAACCTTTCATTTCGATATTCGTCTGTTGCCCAGAATAACTCACTATATTGCACCGCCGCTGCTGAAAACATTTGTACAACTAAGCTCAGAACAGATGACCAGAGCCTCAAGGTCGACTCTTAGGGGAGAGTAAAGAATCCCTATAAGCAGCTCTGCCTTTACACAATCTGCCTTTCTAAAAAAAAGGATTTTAAGAAAACCAGATATGTCGACATTAATTTGACATACAGTATTCACCTTTGACTTTCATATTCATTCTGTGTCAGACTGTCTACATAAAAACAAGTCTAGGTATAAACCTAGTATACGACTGGCTTCCTGGCTGCTCTGGAGCTGCCAGGAAGCGGAGCCACGCTTCCAATTCACTGAGCCTCGCCTCGCCTCGCCTCGATAGCAGCAATTTATTACATGTACCATTATTGCTAAAGGAGACAGAGGAATAAATATTAGACACACCGAGCAAGAGAGAGCAGGAGAGTGGGATGGAGAGAAAGAACCTATCTGTGACTGCTAAGCAAAAGAAACTAGCAGATCTCAGAAGCGTATAAACAACAGAAATGCAAGCAACAGGAAATCAGAATACGCTTTCTGCAGCACATCAGCACAGCAATCAAAGCCCAGTTTAAAAATAAAGGGTTTTTGTCTTCTGAAACGTTAGAGGGCTTTTAATTTGAAATGGTTACAAGAAGTATTGAGTATTGTAACCATAAGTATTTACGCGCGAGGGCAAATGATCAAAATGAGGCTTTGTACTAAAATTCCAGTATGACTAATATCAAATTAGAAATAAAAGTCTGCCTCTAATACATGTCTGCCGAAAACTGCTGCGGATCCGCTTTAAATGCCCCCTGAAAACAGTTTGTCCCAAATCATGTTAAAGAGCAATGGCCAATGGGAAAAGTCCAACACTCACAACTATATCACTCACTCAGTCATGGACATTCGTGAAACTTGTATTTATGTTACTGTACTTATTGTATTGCGTCTACCTATCCAGGGACTGCACATGGAAATTAGCTATTAGCTCAGTCTGGTACATAGTACCAGATGATTGATCGATAAAAATCAATAAAAAACTAAACTAAACTTAACCTTTGGTTTGTTCATCTTCTTTCTCTGCAGGTGGCCAATGTGACTCCAGAGTACATTGCAGAAATCATTGACAAGTTTGAGGTATCTGACGAGAATAAACAAAGAAGCGTTATGGGGATTGAAGGTAACGTTCTCCCATTTCACCATCTTCTTTCAGATTTCACTCCCTCAATTCTTTCCTTTTTTCATCTTGGGGTCAGTCATTGTTTATCCTTTCAACTTCTTGTATCTGTCATGGTACATCATGAGTTTTCATTAGTTACTCTGTTATTTATTATTTTATTCATTCATTATTTCATGCACTCACATAGTCATACTGCTTATGCCATTTCAAGTTCAGGAAATGTGTGAGTCAAACACAGTATATGGATTATGTGCAGCAAATCAAATTTGTTTTTATAATAAATAAATTAATTGAGTTGTATCATGCATAAAACCGTGCCCTGCCTGCATGACCTTACAAGACTCCATACATTCATATAAGACAGACTCAGGATGCAGTCTATGACAACAAAATACCAAATGATGAATACAAAATCATTTTTGACAATCAGACCTCAGTTGACTACAACAAAATTCACAAATCACTGACAAAAAAAAGACTATATAAATTCACCTTGCCTCCTTTACGAAGCTTTTGACTCTAAATACATCAAAATTAAACAATTATTCCAACATAACTGTTTTAACTAACTGTAATTGAAGCTTGAAAGTATAAAAGAAAATGGGACTGACTTTCCACAAAGGGCTTATTCCCTGAATGGTTTTGAATTGCCCCCTCCCCAATGGCCAGGAGAAAAATTTAAGTGCAAAGGAATAATAATTTTGTCACTACTGTTTTTAAATCCAATATCAAATTTACCAATTAATCTTCTCCAATAAAATTTCTATTAACCCAGATTTTATTGTTTACGGTGATAACCGCTCAAAATAAAAACCTTAAATCTTGATAATGGGTGTCTAAAAAGACAAAATAATGACATCTTGGGGATTTTGTCTTTGGCAAGTGTTCATCTCTTGATGTCATTTTAAGTAATGCCACATGTGACTGGAAGGTGAGCTTAAGGGAGAAGAAGGAGTGAGGACTGAGTGCGGTAGCTGGAGTGAGAAAGTGGGAAGTCAGAATGAGGGTGCAGGGAAAGAGAAACAGAAATGTGTGACAGAAAGGAGCAGAGTGACTACGGGGAGAAGAGATGAGAGGAGGAAGAGGAGGTGGGGTGAGACTAATCTTGTCATTGGAGGCATGAAGGCTAACACTATATGTGTCTGGCTGATCAGACCAGTATGCCTGATGCCCTCCCTGTAGGCCTGAAATGTGTGTGCTTAAACAAGCATTGTGCACAGATGTGACAGAAATGTTCAAACAGATTTACATTATCATCTTTTTACAGTGTGATGAGCTGTTACCTACATTATTTGGTCTCTTGGCATCTGTTGGACTGTATATACGTAGTATACAGTATAGTTCATATACATATTCATGTCACATGTCAATGTGGATTTAGCCAAAATGGTACAGTGATGAGATTGCATGTCCAGTCTAATCATGGACTTTCCATAGCAAAAATCTCTCTCTATATTTGCATCACATTTTTTCATTTCTCCTCCACAGCCAGCTTATCCACATCAACCGTCTCCCTCTTTTCCCTCGTCTGCTTTCTCGCTTATTTCCGATTTCTCCTGCTCTTGGTATTCCTGTCTCATTTCCATTCCTCCTCTCTGGATGAAAGGATGCTTTCTTCTCTGTCACTCCTCTTCATGCTGTGGGCACCTACAAAAAAGTTGAAACCACAGTAGTGTGTTTTGAATGTGCTTGTGTCTGTCATCTGTCAGTATTTCCTGGAGCTCAACCTGCTGATGAAGAGATGTGTAGATGTCACTGTTAGAAGCTGTTAAAAGTTACGTGATATGATCTGGTTGCTGGGAGTTTGAAATCAAAACGTTTTTTGTGCCACTATCAGGATGTTGAAAAGCAGGCAACAATTGGTTACCGTAAATCTGATGCAGGAGGGATGCATGACAAGCAATATTTAAAGTTATTTTCTGAGTTCCACCATGACCTCTGCTACTGACTTCAATATGTTGATATGTTCACTAACAATGACCAAGAGTCTACAGCCCACTAGCATCTCTGTGGGACTGTATTAAGACACAGAGGCGCTTTTATCAAAATGCTGACATGAGCATGCTAACAAGATGACAAAGCTAACATGCTGATGTTGGCAGGCATATTTGCTAATTAGCAGTAAATGCAATGTACGGTTGAAAGGGATGGGAATGTCACAAGGGGAATATCATTTGTGCCTTAGATATTTCACTGAATGGTCGAAAACATTGACCTGCTGGTGGTACTGGGTAAAGAGTCAGGAGATCATTAAAGTCATTAGATTTCATCCTCTGACCACCATGAATATGTGTACCAAATGTCATGGCAAGCCATCAAATTTTGTTTGAGACATTTCAATTAAAAAATTTATCAACTTCACAGAGGTGCTAACGTCAGTAGGATTCATGGTCTTGGAATAGTGAATGTCTGTACAAAATTTTTATATGTCAGTCCATCCAATAGTTGTTGAGATATTATCAGCTGATGCTGCCGTTCACAGAGCCATGCCAATATCCGAAAAAAGCTGCAAAACAGAATTGACACTAAGCTGAATTCTGCAATACACTGATTCCCATTGTAATTCTCAACTTTTTTTTCCATTTATGTGTATTTATCTTCAGGTTTTACAAGTTTCATGCGCAGTCCAACATGTGACATTTTCAACCCTTTGCACCATGAGGTGAATCAAGACATGGAGCAGCCGCTCTGTAACTACTTCATCGCCTCCTCTCATAACACATATCTGACTGGAGACCAGCTTCTCTCCCACTCCAAGACGGACATGTACGCCTGGGTGCTGCAGTCCGGCTGCCGCTGCGTCGAGGGTAGGCGTGTGTTTACATTTAAACACAATTTAGGATCCTTGTATTGTTCATGCTGTCACACTGTCATGTCTTACTGGGACACTTGGATAGAACAGAATTGTTAATGTTATTAGTAACACTTGATTTTCTTACTATGACAAGTCAATATGTTTGCTGGGGAGATTGCCTATTGTGATTAGACGAGGTTGCTTCAATGGCTCCTTATAATTGCAGCAAACTCTTTTCACCCTGTATCAAATGGTATCACTGTTTGGTGCTAAAAATGGAATAAAACAATTGCTGTTAGGGATGATAATGGGTATTTATGGATGTTAAGGATGTTTACGGCTTAGCAAGACATTTTTTCTTAATGGTTTTAAATTAACACCGAAGACATATTTTGCAGTGTTTTATGTTTGGTAATAAAATTTGAAACAGATGCAGCAACACCTCACAATGAAGCACAATATTGCACGTGTTATTGCTTGAGTGTTACTTTTACTCACACTATTTTGTGTCCCAGAATGAATCAACAGCAGTGTTCATTAGGAGAATGCGAAATAGTGGAGTATAGGAGCTGAGGCATCTTTGCTATATATCAAAGATGAACAGTGAGGAGAGGCAGAAACTGAGAACAGTAGAGAGAGAGAGAAAGAGAGAGAGAGAGCGAGAGAGGGAGGAAGATATAAATGTTTTCCACTTTCATGCATCATTTCCTCTGTTTTTTCCCTGCAGTGGACTGCTGGGATGGTCCTGATGGAGAGCCGATGGTCCAACACGGCTACACTCTGACCTCCAAGATACCATTCAAGTCTGTCATAGAGACCATCAATAAATATGCCTTCATAAATAACCAGTGAGTCAAAGCTCCCTATGGTACAGAATGTGTGTGTTATTGTACGTGATAGTTTGTGACATTTTATGGAAACTAGACCCTTCCATTATCCCATAGGTATTGTTGTGGGAGAAAAATGGCCTAATGGAAATGCCATTTTGCTTGTTTCCTCTTTAGTTTATTCACACATATAAATCTGACTGAAACATCACGTCTGTTTGACATTCTATAGAATAAATAATATTCTTAGCTTCAGGACAAACACAACATTTCTCCATGTGCACACACACACACACACACACACACATACAAAGATTGTATTATTGATTATATATTGTCCTCTACTGTTTAATTCTGTTGCTTCATGCTCCACTATGGGGTGAGATATATTGTAATAGCACTAACCCACACACAGGCTTTTCCACCCTAATTTAAAAAGTTGGTGAAATTCAGTTTTTTTTTCTCATAAAACAAGTCTCAAACTATCATTTCTCACACTGTTATAATGCAATATCTATGACTCTAGTGGAAGGTTTCCCCCACAAGGTTAAACAAAAAAGCTGCAATATTTAAAAAGCCAGGTTTGTGTTTTTCAGAAAACACTGTAGTTCCTGGCAGTAATTAGCACCTATTACTGAGTCATCTGCTTTGCAGTGTTTCCTCTGGATCCCCGAGGTACCACTGTTTTTTCTGCTGGGTCCGACAATACCCAGACAAAGTGGTGAATGATGCAGCATGCTGCCACACTGTCTCGCTTTAACATCTATTGCAGCCACTTATGATGGCAGCAGCTGTGTTATAAAAGCATTTATTTTATTCAGAGGTACAGACAGTATTGGAGTAAATTCAATTATGTAATCAAAAAGAAGTGTAACTACATTTGGCAATAGCTTGTTGGAACATTCACTAACATTAGATTAAGGTTGTACATCTTATTTTCTGGCTGTCAACTTAACTTCTTGTTCAATTTTGATGCATTGTTGCTGTCATTGGTGTTAAAGAGATAGTTGGGAATAGGCTTACTGCCATTCTCACCGAGAGTTAGATTAAAAGATTGATAGCACTCTCACATTTGTCCATCAAATATGAAGTTACAGCTAGCAGCTGTTATCTTAGCATAAATCCCACAGACCCACAAATTGTTTTTACATTTTGACTTTTGTATGAATTAAATAAACCAGATATAACGTGTTAAATAACAAGCTTTAGATCTGTTGGCTGATTTTGTTTCCTCGGGGCAGAACCAGGCTAGCTAAACTAACCGTGTCCTGGCTGTAGCTTCATATTTACCACACAGACATTAGAAGTGGTTTAAATCCTATAATCTAATTCTTGTCAAGAAAGTGAAGACTGGTATATCGAGAAATTTCAACCTATTCCTTTAATTTCCATCTTAAGAACCGCTGTAGCCTATGTTAAACATAATCAATACGCAGCAAAAGGAAGGAAATTACAATTTTGACCCACCTTTTATCTCGTTACTATATATTTACTGAAGCTGAAATTAGTGTATTTTAAAATTCATCATGTGTGCATAAAGCATGTCTCAACAGATTTTGCAGGCGCAGAGCCTTCAGCGATCAGTCACAGAACAAAACAGATTAACACTGAAGTCAAACAGGGAAACAACATAAAGACAAAAGACACATGGAGAGACATTACAAACTGCCAAACCTGCTCACATTAAAACCCTTTTACTGTCATGGCTGTAGTATGAATCAATTAATTTAGTAATTGACAGACTAATAAATTATGAAGATTAATGCTGAAATGCTGTCCTAGATAATTTTAGTCAATAAAGTTATATTTCTTCTGACGGTTGCTTTGCTGTAGGTCTTTGTATTCCTCTGTGAATGAAATTAAAAACCATATGTTCATGGTACTTTCCCAAAAGAAAACATTCACCGTTGCTAATCAGGAAATACCTTCATATTCTCATAAACTCATATCTTATTAATTAGTCATCTGTAACAATGCTGATGGCAAGAACAGATTAATAAATTGAACGTCCTGTGTTTTCTCTCTCTCTTCTCTCTGCTCTTCTCACCTTTTACATTCAACTGATATTTTATCATCAGTGCCACCTGTTAATATGATTAATGGCTCCTGGGTTGAATTGAAATGGAGTGAGTCTCTGCTCCCTCCGACATCACACACACTCACACACACACATTACACAGCTCATTGAGCCGCCTCACTGTTTCACCTGAGAGGAGCTCCAGGGTGTCACTGCCTGTGTGTCGAAATGAAATGACTCTGGATGCTACTCTCTCTGCTCTCTCTTTTTGTCTTTGGCAAAGGATCCTTTTGTGTGTTTAAATGTGTGTGTGTGTGTGTGTGTGTGTGTGTGTGTGTGTGTGTGTGTGTGTGTGTGTGTGTGTGAGTGTATGTTTTGGGGGATCAGAGGTGGAGGTGAGAGCGAGGCTGTGTCCCCTGAGGGAGAGCTGTCACTCTGACAAACCTGACATTTGAGCTGTGCTGCTGTGTGGCCACAAGTCATTTCACCTTTTCTAAATGAAAAGACAGACACTCACACACACACTCCACATCTACACAGACCATGCCACAAAGGTGAAGAGGTGTTTATGCAGCTGTATTTTTTATCATTTACCTCTCTGTTCTGTGGGTTAGAGGTGAGAAATGGAAGTTAAGTTTGAAATGTGATTCACACTCATCTCCGCAGATCAGTCTCTACTCAGTCCATTTTCTGCATTCAAGACACATTTCCTTCATGTTGACAGGTTTTATGTAATTTATGGAAACCTGAGTACGAATATATATATATATATATATATATGTATATCTTCTTTTTTCCCCAGGTTCCCAGTCATTCTGTCCATTGAGAACCACTGTAGCATCCAGCAGCAAAAGAAGATTGCGCAGTACCTGAGAGAAATCTTTGGAGACAAACTCGATGTGGGAGATGCACTGAGCAGAGACTCCAAGACATTACCCAGTCCTCACAGCCTGCTGGGCAAGATACTCATCAAAGTAAGGACAAATCAATGGATGGATTGATGGATGGATGGATGGATGGATGGTTGGATAAACAGAGCTTGATTTTAAATGAATACATGAATTAATGAATTAAAATATGCCCAGTTAGTGTACTTGTGAATCAAAGGTTCTTCATCACACCTCTCCATTTCCTTCCTCTTATAACAGTGAGGTGAGCTGAGCTCTTGTCATCTCAACATATTTTACTTCATGTGTGTTGCAGTTAGGATGGGGAGAGAGAAAGGCTGTGAGGGAGCTAATTATTGCCCATAAAAAGAAGACGAGAAGGAAGAGGAGATAGTGAGGACAAAACTAGGTCATTGTGTTACACACAGTGAAATGAATAGAGAGGACAAGTTGCTGGCATGTGATGAAAAAGTAACATTTTTTATATTTTGTAACTCGTACAATACATATGTTGTATGTGGGCATACAAATGCATACATTCACACAATAACCAAACACAACCTTCACTGTGACACAGTTGGTGCTGTCAAATGATTCATTTTAAATTGCTATCAGTCAAAGTGTTCTACAATTAAGTATAATGAAATGATATATGTTGAAATTCCATGAAAGAATATAGTAAATTGTATATTCCCCAAATCCCTGGTTAAAGTAGGGCTTAAGTGTAGAATAAAATGTTAACCACAAAACAGGCTGCAACAACAGCATTGTTTTCTAATTACTTTCACTTGAATAACTTAGCAAGCTTTTAAGCTCAATATGACAGTTTCCCCAAAGTGATTATTAATAAATTATGCAGTTTCTCATTATCTTACAATTAAGGCATCACACACACACACACATTCAGTCCTGCCCCGCATCCAGCGTTTTAAGACTGAAAAGTTGAAAAGATTGTATGGAACACTGTGTTGACTGAAATCAGTGCTTTTTACTAGCATGTATGGATAACTAGTCACATAGTCACAGTCACAGGTACTGTAGCTGATGTTGTAATACTGCTGCAAAAAGTCTAAGTTAGAGGTGGATGGTGAGATGCAATCTTCCCATCTTGTCTTCTCCCAAAAGCCAGTGTTGGTTTCCTTAAACCAATCTTTCCCCAAACTTAACCTTGAACTTAAAGGAATAGTTCCACATTTTGGAAAATTAGCTTAATCACTTTCTTTGCCTGAATCATTATGGAAAGCTCATATGACAAAAACCCCTATTTTGTTATTTAAATATGACGAGCTTATCTCTTTGCAGCACCTACTGTTATAGTCCCAAAGGCAGAACAGTCCAGTGAGATGATCTTTGAAACATGGTTGATACCATCATCCTAAAAAAGATTGAAAACCCAACATATGATCTTTTTTTTTAATATCAGCTCTCACTCTGACAGCCTCAGGCCCAGAAGATCCTTATCTACAGAGACGGTGCATTTGGATGAACAAAAGCTTTCAGCATTTATTGTTTTGTTTTATTAGAACCAGATAAAATTGACTTTATCTGTAATGTGAAGAAAGCCTTCTTTGTTCCTTGGCAAAAGGAGCTCTGGCTTTGTCCCTCCCCAGCCAGATGTCTGAAAAGTGAAAGAGCATTATTGATTTTCTATAAAGCCCTTTACTCCTCTCTAACAGTTTTCCTCCACCCCTTTCCTCCCCCTCTCTGCCCTTGTTTGAAATCCTTTCACCTCTCTCCATCCACTCAGTGGAGCGAGAGATCAGAGAGTCACAAGATGGCAAAGAAAAATGGCGTGAGGGTTTTTTGACAGTCACAGCTAGAAGGAACAGGGGACAGACTACTGGTGGCAGTGGTTGAAGCGAGGGTGGCGGTGTCAGCCAGTGAAAGACTCGATGTACTGCAGGAAGCTCAGAGTCTGCAATTGATTTTTTTTCTTGAAGAAGAAGCTTAGAAAATCTTGACTCCCACTCACACCTTCAGAATGGCTCACTAATGGGCTTCCACTCTGCTGAAAGAGCTGCTTAGGGAGCTTCTCGGGGAATCTGCAGCTGATTGTACATTGTGTGTGTGTGTGTGTGTGTGTGTGTGTGTCTGTTAGTTTGTGTGTGCACAAGTGTGTTTTTTGTGCTTATATCTGGCAGTAATGGCCTGGTAATACTGGTAAAAGAGCCACATAAAGGAGGAGGTTACTCTAATGTGTGTCTGTCCATTTTTGTGTGTACAGGCTTGTGTACAGCGAAGTGAATGTCTGAGTCCAACACTGATTTTATTTTATCCTTGGACTAAGAGGTGCAACCTGTGTGGGCGTTCTTGAGTATAAAAGAGATGAGCGAGGGGTTGCGCTGCATTAAAGACATATGCACAGGTCAAAAGCATGTTTGTCACTCTCCTCCAGTCTCTTTGTCTGTCTTTTTTCCCTCCAGGGGAAGCGTCTCCCTGCCTACCTGTCTGCAGACGCCGAGGAAGGGGAGGTATCCGATGATGACAGCGCAGATGAAATTGAGGACGACTTCAAGCTCAAGAGCAGTAATGTAAGAAAGGAGAGAGGAGTCTCTCTTCCTTGTTTTCAAGTTTTTAAGTTTCCATCATTCTCAGCCCAGTATTAAAAATAAAGACGTTAAAGTAACTTCCAACTGCTATCTCTCTCAGTTTGGGCAGCCTTCTTTTTTGGGTCCATGTGTGCTTCTCTGCCAGTTCTTTATGTGCTATTTAATTTGTTCATTCAATAAAAACAAAAAAAACATAACAAAAAAAAAAACTCACTTTGGATTGACAGGGACTATTGCTAGAGGATCAAACCCATTCCTCCACACACAGGCATCACAAACAGAAGTTAGATAATGGGATCTTAATGATATTGTTGTGCTCAACATAATGACTTAAGTAATTGGGTAGTAATGTTGGTGCTTGTAATGTTTTATTGATCGTCACTGCTTTAATGTTTTGGAATAATCAATGCTTAATGATGCAGATATAATTATTAAGTCAGTGTCAGTTGTTGTTGTTTTCTTTATATATACATAAGAATTGCAGCAACATGTAAAACATGTCAGAGCATCTTGAACTTTCCTATTGCCATTTTTATAGTAATTCTTAATCCTGTTCATTTATTCTGTGATACAGTCGTGCCAGGGTCCCCCCTCACCACATTTAATGCAGGAAAACACTTCCACATTTTCCAGATGGTTTAGTTGTGTAACTGAAAATGGCATCGTTCTTCCACATTTAGCTGGAGGCATGAGGCTGCAGATGCCACTTTGGATTATCCCTGGCATCTTAAAGGGGTGGTGGCAAGTTTCCACTGATGAGAGGTTTTATATTGAGCTCATTAAACCAGTATTTTTTTAACATTGCACTTGTAGTGGGCCGTGGAAAAAGTGACGTATATAATGTTGTTCACTCTCTTGCTGTATATGGTGACAGATAATTTTGTTTTTTCCATCTTTAGTGTAAAATATAAAATTTATATGCATTTACATACTTTGTAAACTTTCAGACCACCTTTTTTTTTAAATTAACATACCTGGTATAACTCACTAACAAACTCATTCATTCACATTTAGCAGGCAGCAGATTTTACACAAGGGGGAGCTGTTAATGCATTGTCAGACCAGTTTTACACATCCCAACCTATGCTGCCTCTGGTAAAGGATCGTAATGGCAGTAGCAGTTTAGACCTGCAGATGTAAACATGGTGGTGCGTGACTTTACACTTGCGATCGTGCAAAATGACATGATGCTTACGTGTACATCTCAATTTACAGCTCATTCTATAGTGCAGTGCTGAGAATCAAGTTATAATCGGGATTTAGGTGATTTTAATTGAAAGATGCCAACGTGATGTCAATCTTCTTATATAATTCTCAGAAAGAAAGTCTGTTTCCCAAAATGTCAAACCATTCCTACTATTCTAACTATTAATCATGGACACTGGACACAGCTTATGTGTCTGTTTTAATATTTTAAATTTTACACTTTTACACTTTTTGAACTGTCAATCATGCAAATCTACTCTAGCGGAGTCCCATAATAAAAAATATATAGCTGGGAATGAGCATGGTAGGCCCCCTTTAAGCAGAAAATATTTTATATTACATTTAACATTTTTCCAGTTTAAAATATTTGATTTCAAATATTAAACAAACACGCTCTCTCATGTGCATAAGCATATGAAAAAGTACTGAAGTTGTAAAACTCATTGTCTTCATGTGGTGCAGGAGTCAAACTTGCATCAGCATTTAGTTTTGTTACCTGCAGATGGTTGGTTTAGAATTGCAGGTCTGACTGTGGTGCTGTGGCTCCGCTGTAGTTTAATATTGGCCAGGCTTGGTTTCAGATGCTTTGCATCAGTGACAGTGTGTGTCCATGCACCAAAATGACACAACTCTCCATCTCCAACTCCTGCCAATAAATACATCCTTTTAGCTCCTTGTCTCTCTTGCTTCCTTACCCAGCTTTTCTCCTTCTTTAACTCCTCCCACTAACGTTCCTCTTCTATCACGCAGGGCAATGGTCACCACCAGGTGGAGTCTCACATCAGAAAGAAACTGGACTCTCTATTGAAGGAGTCTAGGATCGGAGACAAGGAAGATACAGACAGCTTCAGCATCCGAGCTCTGCTCCGTGCCACACACCAGGGCCTTCAGAAAAACCTGCGGCAGGTATAAGCACCGAGGCAAAGCTGCATATGGAGCAGAGTAATACTTGTCAACAGATGAGAAAGAAAAGAAAAGGGGGCACAAAACTAGGCCATGGTATTAGTCACGGAGGGAGATGGAAAAAATAAAGACAGGCCAAACGCACCAACTGAACAGAAGAGAATGCAAAGTCAGCACCTGCTCAGGCCACTCTGAAGGGGCCGTGCTATTTCCACCCACAAAACCATGTCAAAACAGACTGAAAGTGATGAGACACTAAATGTCTGCAGTGTTACTTAATATTTAATTTCCTTGCTTTCCTTCCTTCCTATTTTTAGAAGCTTCGGTTTCCTGACAACCATTTTAATGTACTGGGTGTTGTGCATCGGAGTTTCCTGTTCTCTTTATTCTACTCCTGCTTTGTTGGTGATGCCCTTCACCTCATTCTCAGTCTTTAAACCTTTTTCTGTCTCTGTCTTCCTAACTGTAATTTTCCTTTTTCCAGTTTCTCTCTTTTTCGTATTTCTCACCCACGCTCGTCTTCAGCTGTGTTGTGCTTTATTGGCTGATGTCTCTTGTAGCCCCTCCAGCTACTGAGCTTTAGGGTTTAAGTGACTCACCGGGTGCTAATGTGGTTGTTATTAGATTCACGCCAAATGATCCACACACATGAATGTAAACAAACACACACAAACACATACAGTGTATCTGAGCATGTTCTCCTTTTCTCTAGAGCTCCAGAGGGGTTCTGAAGAAATCCCAAAGCAGATCTTTCATCACGACGCTTAAACAGAAGGTGAGGGGCATCGAAAGACCGATTTCTCTTTCTTGCTTGATTCTTTCTATGTTTGTTTGGGGTCTCAAATGGCAAAATCAGGTTATTTCATTTTCATGGTTAGGTGGTAATAAAACATTTCTTAGGAGACCACTGGTAGAGCAGCAGAAAGACTTGTCCAGGCAAAAGAAAACCTGGAGGAAAAAAAAAATGATCTGGCCCAAGAAGTAGTTATAATCTAAAATTTAGTTTACCTTCTTTGATATAAATGGGCAAACACAATACACCCCTCAATGTAATGAACACACCAGCACCACAATATAATCTCAAAAATGACTATTAAGTTGAATCAACACTTCTCTTCCTTTTCCTTCCTGAAGCTAGGATTTATTCCAGAGCTGTTGTATTAGGCCGCATTATGTTTCGCCAGGTGTTTTATTTACACGTTAGAGACAAGAGTGTGATGTGTCTCTTAAAACACCAATATGAAGCAAAACAGAAGCCTTCCTTAAAATAACACATCGAAAATGCAAATACAAAGAACCTTTTGTAGAGCTACCTTCAGCGTGTGGTAGGTAGCAGGATCATAATTAAGACTGCCACACTTATCTTCAAGTTCCTCATAGCAGCTCAATGCAGTGACAGCATGCGTTAGGCGTATCTGCCAATTACACATGCAGATCTAAAGCATGCACTTTCATGATGTAGATCCTCTCTAAGGTATGTGCTTGTCCTTTAGAAAGCTGCTAATGGTGTAGGCCCTAAGAGAAATGTTTGTAGTGCAAATTATGTTTTCAATAGCTGTTTTCTAGTCCTTAAGGTTTAAAAAAAAAAAGAAAAAAGAAATAGAGTTAGCATCAATTCAATTTATCGTTAATTTTATGGTATAATATTATAATATTTCCCACTCCGACTTTATTCCTCTAGCCCTTTGCTTCTTTTTTTTTACCTTCCTCTTTCCCTCATCTGTTTACCCACTCACATCTCCTCTTCATTCTTTTATGTCTCCCTCTTTGCATATTATGCATCCTCCCACGTGTGTGTATATATGCGTGCAAGCATGGGTGCACGTAATCTGTTGGCAAGAAGCCTAAACCCTGTAATTACTGTAACCCTCGTCCTCTTCTCAACTCCACTTTAGCTCTAATAGAGGTGTTGCTTCTCTCTGAAAAAAAAACAAAAAAAAACTAAACACTCCACTAAATACACATTTGCTATAATCACATACGCTATACCTAAAACACCCACCGACATGCACAAACACACACAACTGCTACTACAATAACAACACTATGAATCACACGGGAGCCTCTATGAAACACATACAATTTGGCAAAGAGACACAAACACCAGCCCCTGCCCTGCGAGTTTGTGTGTAGGCGGTATCATGTATGGTGTGTAACAGGTTTATCAGGATATCAGCTATATATAGGCAACACTTTTTTTTTGCTTTTCAACCAGTAAAAAAATGTAGCAATGTAACTTGTGGTTTGTTTATATGCTTCTGTGTGTGTGTGTGTGTGTGTGTGTGTGTGTGTGTGTGTGTGTGTGTGTGTGTGTGTGTGTGTGTGTGTGTGTGTGTTTCTATTGTCCAGAGGCACTCCAAATCCAGGCTGTCATGCCAAAGCGTGGACAAAGAGGAGGACAGTCAGGAGAGGTCTGGGAGGGAGGCCGGAGGACAGTTCAACAGGTGACCTTCGACCTGCTTAACCATAGCACTGACAATCATTGACAATGAGGTTTGATAGTTGCTGACTACTGGGAGCATTAAACAATCCGGGGCATCAGTAGTGCCGTGCAACCACTAAAGCTTCTCCAGTAATCATTCATGTTAGTGTGAGGTAAAGAATGATGGAGCTACCTCCAACAGCAAAGGAGGGAATCCTGATTGGTTTTGGTTCCTTCTTCTCTCATGTAAAATCTATAACCTGAAAAGTGTACAATCACCACTTCTCCACTTTTCTTAGATCCCTGCTTAGTCGTGACTTCCTCAGATCAGATTTTTACAATTTTTATAATATTCTAATGTCACTTTACTCACTTTCTACATATACTAAATGCAAAAGACCAAAGGCAGAGAACCCGGGATGAGTGAAATCAAGGGCACAGCAAAAGGCATCACATATGGTCTCATCGTGCAGCTCCAGTGGCTCATAGCAGGATTAATCATATAAAATATAGATAATGATGGACATTTTATCCAAGCACAGCTGTGTTCTTTCATTAGAAATTTTCTTCTTCTTTGCTTTGCTTTGGACATTCTCCTGTACTCAGTGGTTAAAAAGAATAAGATCATTAAAAGTAGCAATACCAGAAAACAAAAATATGTTTTAAAAAGAGAAACTCCTGCATTGAAAACTGTACTTCAGTAAAAGTAAAGATGTACTGGCAACGAAATGGACTTGAAAATAATGGTTACGCTGAAAGTTATATTATTACATCATTTTATATTTGATGCATTAAAGCTACATAGTGTTCATTTTGAAAGAACTTAAAAATGAAAAGTTGAATTCATAAGTAACACAACACACATCATGATCAATTCAACACACCCATGGGTTTTGCTGTTGCAGCCTCACATGGTCTGGTATGACCAGTGGCTTATGATGGCTAATGTTAGTTAATAATAGCAGTCATTAGACACATATTCTTGTGTAACTGACATTACTGTTGCTGACTTTATGATACTTAATGTTTAGCATTTACTTTTATCCATAATTTTTAATTACTCACTTGTCACTAGTTGCAAGTATAATGTAGCATAAAATTGGAACATTAAAGCACGGCACCTTGGAACT